CTGTCACTTCTGCGATGCTAGCAGCCATTGATGATCAATGCTTAGATCCATCAGTCCATTAGGGGTTGCAAAAATGGTGATATTCTAATATGAATTCAATAATTTCTATTTCATTTTTTAAAGTAATATACTTTTATTAGGAAAAATTTCTCCTCATTTACTTTTTTGGAAACTTTGCTTCAACTGATACTATTTTATCCGAAAAGGGTGACATTTATTGACACATTGGAATGATACATTTATTTGATAATAAGTACTATGAATAATTTTCTTTCAGGTGATAGAAATATTAATCTTCAGGGAAGGGGGAAATAGAAATACCACTGAGGGAGAAGAGGCAGATAACCATCAGGCATCTGAGGTATCTAAGAAGAGAAGTAAATAAAGAAGAAACGTGTTTAAATATAACACTTTGCTAGGTCTATTCTTATTTGGCATGTACATTCCTATTTAAAAGGCTATCCTGTGGCTTTCAATACCATTTACTTATTAAGCACCCTGGCACTCATAATTCTAGTTCAGACCTCTCTACCGGTGTCATGAAGTGGTCAAAACCTGATATCACTACTTTCCGAGTGTGTACGTCCAAGTGACTCGTGTCTTTCCTATCCTGATGAATGGCAGTGTCATACACCAGCTGCTAACACCAAAACATGAGAATGACTCCTCCCTTTCTCCAATCTCCATGATCAGTCAATCACCAAGTGATGTTGGTTTTACCTCAAGATAAATTCCTTCTTTCAGTGATTAATGACATTGCCCTAAACCTAATTATGGTTGTTGAGAAACCTGGCTTCCCTTCTGACATGTTGGCTTCCTCTAGTCCATTCTCTGCAAGAAGGGAGAGTGACTGGTCTAAAATGTTAATTAGGGGTCCAAAGCTGATAATTGTCAAAGCTGTGTGACAGGTTCATTACACTAATCTCTGCTCTTTTGTCTATGTCTGAAATATAAAAACAAAAAGAGGTTACTCAGTTTATTTTATCCTCTTACTATATTGCTTCTCTGTTGACTTCTCAGTGCTCTTAGAATAAGACCCAACTGTCCAAACTCACACCTGACTTCCCAGCCGGCCTCTGTCTACATGTCCTGCCTCATCTTAAGCCACTCTTCTCACTCCCAGTCTGTCCAGGCTGTCAAGTGTGAGAACACTTCAAGCTCTTTCCTGTATTAAAGTAATTGCACTTACTGTATTTTTTTAAAGAACATGTTCTTCCCTGAGCTCTTTGCAAAGCTGGCTTCATCTCTTCTTTCAAGTCTTGGGAGGGGGGGTGCGGGGGTGGTGGAGGGAGGATCACTTTCTTTTCTTTTTCTTTTTTTTTGGAGAGGCCATTCTTTTTTTTTTTTTAGGTTTTTGTCATAGGGTGAGTTGCCTCGTCAGGGAGAGGCATAGTGAGGGAAAATGAGAAATCACCCCCCAAGGGAGATGGCCACACTACAATCCCTTCTCCTCCATTCTCCTCTCAGAATTTTGGGCATGCTCACATGCACTCAGTGTGATCTTCTAGCTGCCGGCTCAGGGACTCAAATCTGGTCGTCCATGTGGGAGTCCAGCCCCTTAAGCACCACCACAATACCTGCTGGCCCCAGAGATTTTCCCATGTTTTGATATATTGGATAATTTTATATAACAGTCACTGTTTGATTCAAAATAGAATTTTCCACTATATTCCATAGTATTAGCATGACACCTCCCTCATATTTAGGACCAATATATTTAAGTTTTATCAGATGTTAATTCCAGGCAACTTTCCAAGTAGTTTATTAGAGAAGTACTCAGAAGGCATTTTCGCAGATTCTTTCCTCTGCTCATCTTTGTTCTGATTCATTGTCATAGGATGAAACTAAATGATGTCAAATTAAAAACAAGACTGCTTATGCTAAATTAGCACTTAAGAACTGTGTACCAGTCTTCTGAAGGATGTCCCTGGCAGGACAGAACTTTAGAACTAGAAGGTATCTTAGAAATTATGTAATAATCCAATGTCCTCATTTTATTTTAATTAATTAATTATTTGTTGAAAGAGATTTTTGGTATAGGGTGTGTGCACTCACCGGAGAGACAGGAAGCGAGAAATCACACCCGGGGGTGCACTCACTGGAGAGACAGGAAGCAAGAAATCACACCCGGGGTGGAGGATGGCCGTGCCACAATCCCTTCTCCTTCATTCTCCTCTTGGGATTGAGGGCACACATGCACACACTCCTGGTGTGAATTTTAAGCTGCCAGGTCCAGTACTTGAGCCTCGGTCAACTACGTGGGAGTCTAGCGACCTAACCATTATGCCACCTGCGGGTCCCAAAGCCCTCGTTTTAAAGGGGTGAAACTGAGGCTCTGACAGGTTAACTCTCTCACTCTGCAAACATAACTTCCTAACCTGGTAATACAAACCTTGCTTGAAGATCCTTAGGAAGTATCTACATTGTAAGTTAATACCATATCAAGATTAGGATCCCAGGGCTTTTATATCATAAATCCATTGTTTTCAGGCAAACTCCATGGTCTGGTGAGGGTCTCTCATGGCTGACTGCCTGATTCAAGTCCCAGGCCCAGTGGCTTGAGAAACACGCAGCACATGTGTGCACTCGCACCCAAAGTCCCAATAGAAGGGAAGAGATGGAGGATTAAGATCTGACCATTTCCTATGGGGCGTGCTTTCTCTTCTCTCTCTGTCTCTCTCAGCGAGCAAACACACCCCCTAGCAAAAAGAAACAGAAAAAAAGAATCCATTATTTCCATTAAATTAAGGCAAACCTTCCTTTTTTCTCCTGTCCTGCCCTCTTTTGAGCCTTTGTCTTCTCAAATTATTCCAGTGACCTTTGTTGTTCCTGAGATGACACAAGATTCCAATATTGCCTTTTAAAATTATTTTTTAAACCATTTACCTATATGCCAAAGTGATAGAGCATAAATACAGTAGAATTAATGTCATATTTGCACCTCTTTCAAGTGTAGCCTTTGGAACGATAAACCAAAGGTTGGTTAATATCTACACATAATTCGCTTCATTCATTGAGAACTTACTTGTGGATTTGAGCATATTGTGAATAAAGAAGATAGACATCTCTTGTGAAAAATAAATGGGCACACCTATTTCCCCTGCAAATTGATGATGTCGTGGTGACACATTCAAGGTACACCACATTCAAGGTATATGGAGCGTTTTTAAATAGAATACAAAGCCTTGCCCTGGGTCCCTTAACTACGTGAGAATCAGTCTCTCTACATGTAAGCAGGACGGACTTGTTCTCAGCTTATACGATGTTTCCTGCATCAGAGCCTGTCCTGGGCTCTGGCCCCAAGGTGGTTAAACAGTGTTGACACTGATGACCAGCCCAAGGTGCTGGGATTGGTGGTGACTGGACCTCAGCCCTCTTCCTTGGCTCCTGCAATTTCCCCAGCTACTGATGACAACCTCGTTTGCCAGTTGAGTGAGGGAACCTGACCTTCTAGTTCAGGGTTTTAAAATATGCCCTAAAATAACACAGACCTTGAAAACCCATTAAGTCCCTGGGGCCAGCAGGTGGTGTGGTGGTTAAGGGCACTGGACTCCCACACAGTCCACCGTGATTAGAGTCCCTGACCTAGCAGCTTGCTTTCTCGCTTGCCCCCCTCCCCCCAAAGTGAAATAAATAAATAAAATTGAATAAATAATTTTTTGAGAGGTTTTTGCTATAGGGTGCGAGCGCTCACCAGAAAGACAGAGACAAAGAGACAGAAAGCGAGAAATCACCTCCCAGGGGGAACAGCCACCTGCAATCCCTTCTCCTCTCGGGATCTTGGGCACCAACGCACACGCACCCGGTTTGAGTTTAATAAGCCCCCGGGCCCAGGACGCGAACCGCGGTAGACTATATGGGAGTCCAGGGACATAGCCATTACGCCACGAATAAATAATTCTTAAAAATAAAAAAAAAGAAAACCCATTTAGGCCCTTTCTCTTTTCCAGCAGAACCCTGCCCAAACTATTCCAACCAGATGAAACTGCTTCTTGTTTTAACTACTAGCAGGGAGCGAGTCCATAACCTTTCATCGTCCTTCCCTGGACCCTGGGAGGCAGAGCTGCTGAATCCACCCCTCCCCGCAGACCCCTGACATCCTCCAGCTGCAGCCCAGCTCAGCGGCCCTCAGCGCCCTGCCATGACTCCCGGCCAGGTGAACAGGCCTCGTCGGGCAGAGTCCCCGGCTGCTAGGGTGACCAGAAAGTGAGGGACCCCAGGCCGCAGTCCCTGGGACACGACGGACGCGCGCGGCTCTCGCGAGAGTTTGAGGGGTGGGGGCGGCGGGGGTCTGG